CACACAAACTCCGAGGAACCAAGCAAGCTCACCGACCACTTAAAAAAAAAAAAGCTATACCCCCCCCCACCTTTCCCATTTTTTAAATTTTATTTTGTAACGGCTTTTCAACAGATCGGAGTTGGGGAAGCAAGCAATCCCAGAAAAGCTGCCCTTTGCTGGAAGATCTGAGCGAAATTTCATCCAAGCCACTCCGGGATCTTATTTTTAAAGAACCACTTCATGTCGTTCGCTGGGGCTTCCCCTCGCCCTCCTTCCATGCACGGTGCATTAAGAGAAAGTGGCTTGGGAATGACGAATCGGCCTTTTCATTGAGAAAAAAGAAAGCGACGAGGAAACCAACGTGCGATCGCGAAGCGGGACAAAAATCCTCGCCGCATCTGGGAAGAAGGGCTTTCTAAACATCCGTAGATTTGGGTGCAGCGTGTGGCTCTCTGGTTTGCTGTTTGCTATTAATTTCCCCCTCTGGAGAAGAGAGAAAGTAGAGGGACAATCCCCCTCCCAAGTTCGCGGTGGATTTTTTTCCTCGGTCTAAAGCAAAACCTTTCGATGATTCTTGCTTGCAACCTGGACTCGAAGTGAGTTTGGAACAGAAGAGCCGCTTCTGTTCTCTTTTATTTCCTTTCGGCTTTGGGGTTGCATTGACTCGCCGACCGCAGGAAGACGCGGGGGGAGAGGGGGGTCGGCTTGGCGTGACCTCGCTTCCTCGGTGGGAGCTTTTCCCCTTTTTTGCAAAACGAGCTTCTGCAGGAGAGAAGCGAAGGCTTGCAAAGAAGCGCGCGGATCTGAGCCTTTCCCTGGTGCGAGGCGGCGGGGTTTCCCCGGTTTTCTCTCCCTCCCTCGTGTTTACAGAGAGCGATGGAGCCTGGCGAGTGGCTTGGAAGGGGCGCGGGTGGTTGGGGGTGCTGAAGTCCGATTTCTCGGATGGGCTCGCTCTGCTGGTCCCTTCCTCTTTTCCCTCCTCTGGTTCTGCAAGCGAGGGACCCCCCTTCCCCCCCCCCCACGCGACTCGTGTGTGCGTGGCGTGGTTGTTTGTGAGCCTATGGGGGGTCACGAGCCGCGTTGTACCGATACGCCTCCAGCGCGC